TGGCTGTCTCTTTGCTGCTGGCAAAAAGAGTTTCTCCTGGATCTACCAGGTACTTTGTGGTGTCCCTGGGATCGATAGAATGCACTCTTTACATTCACCATCTCTTTGGGACGGTCTAGATCCATTTGGACCATCCAGGAGCAAAGATATTGTTAGCGATCTCAGACCTCCAAAATCGCATGCCGTATTCTTGCAACTCCAGCTCCACCTTCTCCTTGAGTTTGTATCTATTGTGTGCTCTTGTGTTATTATGGTTGAAGCTGAAGTATTCATTGACAGGTAGGACATTGCAATGTATGATTTTATATACCATACTTAGATCAGATGGAAGATGGCGTAATTCAAGGTTTTCTAGGTCTAGAATTTCAAGTCTGGTGGCATAAGGTATTCTACAATGAGTAGAGGAGTGGAGAACTCTTCTTGTGAAATATTTCTGGACTTTCTCAACTGTGCTAGTATCAGATACGTAATGTGGGTTCCGGACTGATGAGCTGTATTTGAGTATTGGTCCAGCAAATTGTTTGTATGCTCTAGTTATTAGTGTAATATTACCAGAGAAAAAGCTTTGTAAGATTAGGTTAACAACTCTTAACGCCTTTTTGGCTGTGTAGTTACAGTGGGCTCTAGCACTTAGGTCATTTGAGATGAGTACTCCAAGATCCTTGGCAGAGTTTGGATCATCAACAAGGTCTTGACTATTCAGCCTGTATTTTATTTTTATTTAATCCTGTGGACCATGGCCCACCAGGCACACCTGTCCTCCACTTTCTCCAGGAGTTTGCCCAATCTTATGTTCATTGCGTCAATGACACTATCTCACCATCTTGTCCTCCACCACCCCATTCTTTCGCCTTCAATCTTTCCCAACATCAGGGTGTCTTCCAGCAAGTCTTCTCTCTTCTCATTAGGTGGCAGAAGCCTTCAGTTTCAGTATCTGCCCTTCCAAAGGGTGGGGGGATTCCTTAGGACTGACTGATTTGATCTCCCTGTAATTCAAGGGACTCTTAAGAATCTTCTTCAGCACTACAATTCAAAAGTATCAATTTGGGGGCATTCAGCCATCCTAAAAATAGAATAGAATAACAGAGTTGGAAGGGACCTTGGAGGTCTTCTAGTCCAACCCCCTGCTTAGGCAGGAAACCCTACATCATTTCAGACAAATGGTTGTCCAATCTCCTCATAAAAACTTTCAGTGTTGGAGCATTCACAGCTTCTGGAGGCAAGTTGTTCCATTAGTTAGTTGTTCTAACTGTCAGGAAATTTCTTCTTAATTCTAGGTTGGATCTCTCCTTGATGAATTTCCATCCATTGCTTCTTGTCCTGCCCTCAGGTGCTTTGGAGAATAGCTTGACTCCTTGATCTTTGTGGCAGCCCCTCAAATATTGGAGCACTGCTATCATATCACCCCTTCTTTTCATTATTCCAGCAATCTCAGCAACCATTCTGTATATGTTTTAGCCTCCAATCCCCTAATCATCTTTGTCGCTCTTCTCTTCACTTGCTTTAGATCAGAATTCTCCAAACTTGGCAACTTTAAAACTTGTGAACTTCAACTCCCAGGATTCCTCAGCCAGCTATACTAGGCTCAGCCAGGAATTCTGGGAGTTGAAGTCCACAAATCTTAAAGTTGCCAAGTTTGAGGACCCCTGTTCTAGATTCTCAACATATTTTTTTTTTACAAAACTGGATGCAGTATTCCAAATGTGGCCTTACCAATGCATTATGGTCAAAGTATTATGGCTGCATTATGGTCAAACTCTCAGTCATACATTACTATTGGGAAAACCATAACTTTAACCATTTATACCTTTGTCAGCAAGATGATGTCTCTGCTTTTTAATATGCTCTCTAGCCTTATCTGAGGACTTACTAGCACCTTTCCCAAAACCATCTTCCATCAGAAATGCCCCACTGCCTTCCAGAATGATTGGGTGATGATTGGTCAATGCAGGCAATAATAAATGGGCACAGATCTAATGTGAGAATTAAGTATGCCCCCTCCCACAAAAACAGTGGAGAAATAGGAAGACATTTCAGTTCCCCCCCCTTCCATTCCTTCCTCAGATTTTTCTGTCTGGGATCTTATGGCGACCACCCATATTGTCACTGACTCTGCAGTGTTCAGCCACCTTTTTTTTTTTTAAACAAGAGGATCTGGCAACATTTTTTGTGGCTCCAGGAAAGGTTTGATCAGATGATGTGTATTGGTCATGTCACTAATGCAAAACTTTCTATCTCACACCTGAACCCCATTTTTGTGCACAACCACAAAAGGTAAGGTGTCTTTTTAATCAAACATCTGGAAACATAGCTGCCCAGAATCAGGTACCAGATGGGTGGCCAACGAATTGCCTAAATAAATAAATATCACAGTATTTTTGTGGCAATGATGTGCTTTGCCACTGCCTTTTTTTTTTGTTCAGTGTCCCAGTCCAACGCTACTCCCACCAAGTTGAATCCTGCTTCTTTTTGAATCAGTACAGGCCATCTGGGTACTGCCCAAACTTTCAGCTTATTACCACTGTATTCACCTCTTCTATTTCATATGTCTCTGAACTCCCCTTTAATGATCTCTCTTCCTTCTTTACACACACCAAAAATAGCACACACATATTGTAATAAAGATCTTAAGGTACTAGAAGCTTCTGTTGTTTCCCTGCAACATAAAAATGAAAGCCAGCCTACTTCAATCTGGGTGTAGCTTCTGGAGGTTTATTCTCAACATACTTTGGCAGAAGATACAGTTTTGTGGTTCCCTCTAAAACAACTCCCTCGATAGCAATTCCCATGACTACATTTCAAAATGTAGTTTCAGATGAGCTTCAAGAATCTGAAGTATGGTTCTCTCACCCTAGCTATGGCTGAGAAGATCTCACTTGCCTCTCCCAGCATCTGGCAGCTCTTTTGCAGCTGTCCTGCCCAGCTGTGAAAACATCTGGATGATAAATGACTCTGGCAACCCCCCCCCTCCCTTCATTCACTTGTAAACGGAGAATCCCATAGGTCAGGATCAATCAGGAAACTTTGGAGTCAGGGTGTTAATTAGGCAATTAGGAGGATTCAAGGGGTGGGCGCAGAAAGAGATTCAGCCACCACTCTTAATGAAGTCTGAGATGGAGTTGGGAAGTGGACATAAGTGGGAGAAGATTTGGCTGGGCAGCTCTAGCTCTGAAGGGGGAGCAGGCGAGGACTGGGGAGGCATCTAAGCCTGGAAAAGGAGAGCTGAGAGTTTGAATAGCAGGGGAGGCAGAAGGAGGGCTTGGGTAGTAGAGGGGTCCTGACAGAAATAGCTGGAAGGTATGTAAAGATGGGGCATCCCAAGGCTGAGCCTACGTCTGCTACTTCTTTCCTGCAGCTCCCCTGCTACCAGCCCCAAACCCCTCCCCTCTTGAGGTGTGAATGTGCCATTTGGGGTCTCACTTCAAAGAGCCTTGGCGGAATCATAAATACAAGCCCCCAACCAGGGGCGCTTCAGGGAAAGAGAGGATTTGGAGGTGGACACATCCCAGACTTGCTTCAAGAGACCAAGCCAAGGAGACCTGGCTTCCAGCTCCTTAAACAGCTCCTACCTTTCTGTCTCTGAGCCCTCCCTCCCTTCCTCCCTTCTCTCCCCAAGCCACATCCAACTTTGCACCCCAAACCAACCTTCCAGCCTCTAGGCTTTCTCCTCTACCCCCCACTCTCAAGGCAGGAGCCCTGGCTTCCAGCCTTACCTGTTCCCATCCACAAGACCCCCAGTCCCTTCCCAGAGAAGCTAGTCCTAGCCTCCAGGCTTCTGTTCATCCCTCATGTACCACCCGTCAGAGATGTTCCCCCAGTATGGGAGCTCCTATGCTCTGCGACCACCACCCCCTCCTGGAGCTGCTTATCCCCAGAGTCAGGCACCCCAATATGAAGCCTTCAGATACTCAGGTGAGAAACTGGGAGAGGATCTGGCAAAGCGGTGGGGGAAGGAAAAACTGGTTCATGGTAAAGCCATGAATGGAAGGGAGCGAAAAATCCTGGTGGGTATTGTGGGCTCAAGAACATCTTCATTTAACCATTAGGCTCCAGGGTAGCCTGATCCAGAGCCAGGCAGCCTATCTACCTCACAGGGCTGTTGTGTGAAAGGGAGCAGGATAGAAGAAAAAGTATCTGTGCCTTCTTGTGAGTGGCTCTTGAGATGTGACTGTGTGACTGTGACAGACATTTAAGGAAGAAGATGGGAATTAAGTATCTCTGAAAAAGTTTCAGAGAAAGTTAAGAAGCAGAAACCTGACATGGAGAAACTTTCTTCTTGTAGAAGAAACTAAAGTAAAACCAACGTTTTGGAAGCTCTTTGGGAGAGAGGGTGGTAGCCGGGATGTTTAAGCTAAGAGGGTTAACAAGCCGATTCCAGGATGCAACTATATCAGAATAGAATAGTGGAACAAAAACGTTTATATTGTAAAGCTGCCAAGAGTAATTGGATATGAGATGGGTGGCGAATAAATTTCATAAATAAATAAAATCAATCCAGAATGGGTGAGCTGGAATCAGATAATGATGAGAATTAGGAGCTTAGGCTATTATTATCTGTGGGAAAAGTGGGACTTACATTAAAAATAAAAAAGGAAGGGAAGTCCACTAGGCACCCATGAGGATGAGGATGGTCCTGGGATGAAGGGGAAGCAACTTGTTTTTTAGACAAGCCAGTAGGAGGTCAGGGAAGATCAGAAAGGGAGCTGAGAGAGATGGAGAATTCCCATAAATTGTTGGCTTTTACTCACCCACCCCCATCAGCTGGATATTTAGCACCCAAGACCAACTGGTCAGGGAAGAGGTGGAGGGGGGAGAGAAGAAAACGGGCGGAAACCAGCAGGAGAGTGACAAATTCCTTGATGATGCCCCTCAGTAATGCCTGCAACCCCCTCCTTCCCCTTACTCCACATGGCTCAACTGCCAATGCCCCTCAGTTTTCTTAACCCTCCTCTCAGGTCTCTTTTCTCCACTTCTTTGTCACCAGAGCTGGAATCTGCTCCCAAATTGGAAGGTTTCTTCCCAGGTTTGGACCCCCCTGGCCGCCTCCTGCCCCCAACCCCTGGCCTCCCTTATGGGACATCTCAGACACTCCCAACAGGTCCCCCAACAACTGCACAGCTACCCCCTGGAGTACGGATGAGCCTGGAGAACAGTGAGCTCTGGAAGCGGTTCAGTGGCATTGGCACCGAGATGATAATCACCAAAGCAGGCAGGTGAGATACTGGTCCATCATATCTCTCTCTCTCTCTTCTCTCTCTCTCTCTCAGGGATCAGTCTTGGAACTGTGTAAATTAGAGCTTCAAATGACTTTTCTTCTGTCCTAAAATTAAAACTTCTGCCCAATAGACAGACATCGTAATCTTATCCTTCCCTACTCTGAAGTAAGACTTTTTAAGTCCAGTGGGTTTTGCTTTTATGTAAATGTATAGAGAATTATGACTGCAATCTAAACCATTTTTAACATGCTAGCTTTGCAATGTTTTTCCCCCTTTTCACTTAGACCTGACCATCATGCAAAAAGAATAGGATATTGTAAAGAAAACTTTGTTTATATAATTCACCAGGTTAGGGATCTATGACCATTACACATATTGATGAATGAAATAGCTTGCAAATGGGATTTTACAAATTCATCAAGGGTAAGCAATTTGAAGCTACCTGCTGTGTTACTGAACAGAGGGCTAGTCTTACAGCAGAAGTCTCCAAATTTGGCAACTTTAAGATTTGTGGACTTCAACTCCCAGAATTCTCTAGCCAGCATATCAGGTTGAGGAATTCTGGGAGTTGAAGACCACAAGTCTTAAAGTTGCCAAGTTTGCGGACCCCATCTTAGAGGCTTGAATGGTCCCTTTTAATTCTCAATTTCTAATGTTTTAAATGAAGCCTCCATGTTCAAAGGCAGTATACCTGCATTGTGCTCATGTTGTAAGTTTTATTTAGGACAGTGATAGAAAATAATTTACTTGATTAGACTGTTAATATAATCTAGGAAGGCTCTTGAAATATTAAGAGAAATAAATCTCTGTTCCTATTTAGTTTTTGCTGAATTATTATTAAAAAAACAATGTTTTGAGAAACAAATGTACCTTCTGGGTTACCAGAGACTAACAGGGAACCTGAATTGAATATTGTGAAAAGCCCTTTTTATCTTTAATTTCTAGTGTAAAAAAATGTTTCCTAACCTTGAGTCTCCAACTGTTGGATCATTTTAAGTCACTGCAACCTGGAATTAAGGAGAAAGTTCTTCACAGTGAAGACAATTAACCAGTGGAACAGCTTTCCTTCAGAAGTTGTAGGGGCTTCATCAATGGGGGTTTTAAAGAAAAGACTGGACAGCCACCTATCTGAAATGGTATAGGGTCTCCAGCTTGAGCAGGGGGCTGGACTAGAAGACCTCCAAGGTCCCTTCCAGCTCTATTCTGATTGATTGATTCACTGATTGATTGACTGACCAGAGATGAACTGATTTGGAGACAAACCACTTTGGGAATTTATAGTAATTGTATGACACCCATATGGATGAGTGAAGTGAGAAAATAACTAGAAAGCCTACATCCCAGGAAAGCTGGAAAAGAGTAGTTACTGCCCTAGGAATTGAGTGAGAGAATTTTGTATGTTTTCAGCTTTCCAAGGAATAATCAAAAGCCATTTGTTCTGCATAGGATCTTAACATTATCTCACTACAGGCAGTCTTCAATTTACAGCCATTCGTTTAGAAACTATTCAAAGTTACACTGGCACTGAAAAATGCTACTTAGTACAACCGGTCCTCGCACTAACAATGGTCACGGCATCCCCATGATCAAAATTCGGGCACTTGACAACCAAGATGTGTTTACAACCATTGTAGCATCCCACTGTCATGCCATTTGCAACCTTCACAGTTGGCCTCCCATATGCATTATCAGAGGGAGAAACCAGACTTGCTTAAAGACTGTGATTCACTTAACAGCTGCTTAATGTCTTGGCAAAAAAAGGTCATAAAATTGGGCACAACTTACTTAACAACTGCTTTGCTTAGCAACAGAAATGATGATCCCAGTTTGGCTACAAGTCAAGGACTATCTGTACATCAAGCAAGTCAGAGATGACATTTCAAGGGCTAAATGTGGGACAGTCCGTTTGTCTTAATATGTAAATGGAGCCAAATAATATGATTTGGACCCATCCACTCATCCTGTGCTATTTGAACTTTCTAGAAATTTTGGAACAAAATAAGGATATGGGTGCAAGAAATAACTGGGGAAAAAATAGAACTTAAACCTGAAGTGTTCCTATTAGGGATAATTATATGTAATTACAAGAAAGAAATTGAATACATAATAATACATATATTGACAGCAGCTAGAATAACGTATGCTCAAAACTGCAAATCAGAGAGTAGTCCCACAGCTAATACGCTGATTTAAAATATTATGGATTGCGCAGAAATGAATAAACTTACAATGGAACTGCAGGAGAAGGAAGAAAGAATGCTATACAGTCTGGGAGAAATGGTATGTTTGGTTAGATAACAGGAATAAAAGATAATGCAAAATGTAAGTGTAATTGGTATGTGTGTGTGTGTGTGTGTGTGTGTGTGTGTGTGTGTGTGTAAATGAATATGGAAAAGCCGATGTCACAATGTATTGCAAAAATTGTAAATATGATTTGTTTTTAAAATTGTTAAACTTTAATGAAGTTTATTTTTTTAAAAAAGAACTTTCTAGAACTCAGCTACAGCATGGTGGGAGTGTGATTAGAATTAGCTATCACCAGCCTTGAGTTGAGATGAATCACATTTTCTTCTTCTGTGTCACAGCCCTTTCCTCCACAACTTGAATCTTCTAATCCATGTTTTAATCCCCTTCCAGGAGGATGTTTCCACAGCTAAAAGTTTCAGTCACAGGCTTGGATCCTGAAGCTAAGTACCTACTGCTGGTGGATGTCGTTCCTGTAGGAGGTTCCCGCTACAAGTGGCATGGCAAAAAGTGGGAAGCCAGTGGCAAGGCAGAATTACCACCTCCAGACCGGGTTTATATCCATCCTGACTCACCTGCATCAGGTGCCCACTGGATGCGCCAACCTGTATCTTTCCATCGGCTGAAGCTCACCAACAATACCCTGGATCCTCATGGACATGTATGATTGGGAACTGGGACCAGAGAAAAGAGAGATGGGGAAGAGGGGATATATATCCAGGAGACAATAATTGATAGAGTATACTTACATCCCAAATAAAACGATTTAGAGAAGGAACACATGTGGGAGGATCTTTTAGGCCGCTATGGGGAGTTAGGGGGGGGGGGGGACAGCCAATATCCAGGTTTTTCTGAATCTGATGCCAAAAATGAAGCAAAATCTTCCCAAAGGAATACTACATTCTGAAATTCGAAGAACATAAATTCTATAGCAAACACACAGTATTTAAACTTAGATTTTGTTGATAATGTGTTGGATGATTATAAAAAAATGTTCATGGATATAAGGCAAGAAACAACTTAGCTCACCAAAATCCCTCTACAGAAATGACTTGGGGTTATTTTTTTGCAGGTTGACACGCCTAGATGCTTAATCTTTCTTTTAAATTCAAAGTGAAGTCATATTTAAGGAGAATGAATCATGCAATTATGATCACATGTTGTGCTTTTCCCACAATGACAGCATGCATTGACAGTTCGGTTTTGCAGAGAACTAAAATGGAAAGTGGAAGAACATGAGATGGTCAGGTAAATAATGCCCCATGTTGATTCTTCTGTTCTTAGTTGATCGTTCATTCCATGCACCGTTACCAGCCCAGAGTACATGTGGTGGGAGCTGGAGGGCGCCGCGGAGCAGGCAGTGGCTGTGCTTCCTTCACCTTTCCTGAGACACAGTTTCTGACTGTCACAGCCTACCAGAACCCACAGGTGAAAGAACAAGAGCAGGGGTTTTTTTTTAAAAAAAAATGTTATTTTTAAATACTGTAGACTTATTCTTATTTGTAGGGTCTATGATATCCCTAGACTGCTTGTCCCTCATTGTTTCCCTCTTTTGATACCAGAGATAGATAGATAGATAGATAGATAGATAGATAGATAGATAGATAGATAGATAGATAGATAGATAGATAGATAGATAGATAGATCCTCACAGTCCGGTAACCTTTGTTATTTATATTTCCTATACATTCACTTTCTAGGGTTTCTTAACACTCTCTTTCTGCATATTTTCCTGTTCTTTTACCCTTTGACCTCCTCATCCAAGCCAAATCTTTTCAGAATGAAACCTCTCCTGGCAGTCTTACAGCCTTAAATGTGCCTCTTTCCTGCCTTCAAATTTTATTTTTCTAACAATTTCAGATCGCAGCACTTCGGCTCTTTCTGTTATTCACAACAATGTACTTTTTAGTATAAACATGTCTGCAGCAAAGTCTAATCCCTACTCCCAATAGCTTTTCAATATTTTTCACCAGAGTTTCTCATTGTCACCAACTTTAAGCTGTATGGACTTCAACTTTCCCAGCATGCTTGACTAGGGAATTCTGGGAGTTGAAGTTCACACATCTTAAAACTGCTGAGTTGAGAAACGATGCTTCACATCAGGGCTGTGAAACTCATGGCCCATCACGCTCTGGCCACACCCACTCCCAGTTTAGCGGAGGGGAAAAAAGTCACCATACGTCACATGATGCCGACGTAACGCCCTGAGTTTGACACTCCTGCTTTACATCATCATAGTCTTTCACACTACGAAGAGTTTATGTGACTTATTTTGTTCATTTTAGCTGGTTTAGAAAAGCTAATTGAATTGGGAACATGATCTTTAATAATATTTCAAATGTAGGGGTGTCAAACAAATTTCATTGAGGGCTGCATCAGGGTTGTGTTTGACCTCGGAGGGTCGAGGAGTGGGTCATGGTTGTGGCTGGGGGCGTGGCTATGGTGGGTGTGGCCAGCTTGACGTCACTCATGTCAGGGGCACCTGTAGAGGCCAAGTGCTAAGGCGGGACTTCACTGAGATCATCCCTCATTCTTATTATAATCTTTCCTTCCTTCCCTTTTTTCCTTCTCTCTTCATTCTCCTTTCTTTTTCCTTCCCCTCTTCCCCTATTTTTCTTTCCTTGCTCTCTTCCCTTCTTTGTCTTTCCTCTTTCCCTTTCTTCTTTCCTGTCCCTTCTTGCATGCTCAAATGCAAAAAGGGAAACATTTCTCCTTTTATTTTGTTTTTAGTTTGTTTTGCTATCCCTCTGCCAGTGAAAATGGAGCCTGTGGGTGTGTGCGCAGCCCCCATGCACCCTGTTTTCAGCCGCAAAGACCTCTTGTAGCCCTCTGCCAGCAAAAACAGCTGGGCGAGGGGGCAGCCACAGGAAGATTTTAATAAAAAAAATAAATCCCGAAGAGATGCTGAAAACTGGTTGCTGGAGGGGCAGAAATAACCACCTCACCTTAATATGCAAAGCCACTTCAGAAACGTAATTTCCCCAAAGAGAAACACAGAAAATGTCTCCGGGGGGCTTCAGATAAGCAGCTATCCCCATGTTTTAAAAGGAACAATATTTGTTTTATTTGCTCCCTCCCTTTGTTGGCTGCAGCTACCTAGAGACCCAGAAAAAACAGATATTGTCAAAGAGTTGGGAATATTGTTAAGACCTTTATATCTTTATTTATTTATTTGTTGCTCGCCTTTATTGTTTTTATAAATAACTCAGGGTGGCGAACATATCCAATACCCATTCCTCCTCTTATTTTCCCCATAACAGCAACCCTGTGAGGTGGGTGGGGCTGAGAGAGAGTGACTGGCCCAAAGTCACCAAGCCAGACTTCATGCCTAAGGCAGGACTAGAACTCATTGTCTCATGGTGATTGGCCCAAAGTCATCCAACCAGCTTTCAAGTCTAATGCAGGACTAGATCTCACAGTCTCCTGATTTCTACGTCAGCACCTTAAGTACCACATCAAACTGGCTTAGACCTCTCTCTAGGAAGTCTCCCGATGTGCTGATTGGTATCTAAATCTACTGTGGGCAAAAGCCATTGACAACATTATAGTTTGTACAGGTTGCTATTCTAAACATATATTATTCTTTCTTTTTTTCCCCCAAAGTTTTTTTATTTTTATTTTTTACATATCTCTTCACTTGAGCAACGTGGTTCCAGATTACAATATTTATACATAGTCATAGTTATATTTTCAACTTTCTTAATTAATATCATCTCAAATTATTATCCATTCAACTAATCCTTAGATAAATTTCCCTTTCATATTTCAATTCATTAATTCAATATCAAAATCATTTCATCCTCACATATATTTTCAATTCTTTATCCTCTATTATTTCCATTTTCAGCTTACCCTCTATTTTGTTACATTATGTATTGTTATCATCTATAACTTTCTCAAGACTAATATATAATTAGACAGTCAATGAAAGAAAAAATGAGTAAAAGTAAAGTAAGATTAATACATTTGGGATCCACATGGTATATCCCCCCATCTACAATATATCTTATATATATTCCAGAGATATTCATCATTTCATATTTTTTTCTTTGTTTCCACTGAGCCAAAATTATATTACATTTATTATAAATATTTTATATTCCCACATAATTCCTTCTAGTTCATTATGTTTTCTATTTTCTCATATCCTTTGTATAATCAATTGCATTTTCTATTACATGTATACCACAAAGAAAATAAATAAAAACAGAGTTAATTTCCCCTTTTACTTCCCTTTAACCCATTTCAACCTATAGCGTTTATGTAATGCTAATTCACATTTTTTGAACATAATTAATACCAGATTTTTGCCTGTCATAATATTCTGTTTTCCTAATATCATTAGCATATTTTAGAATATATATATGGCATTCAGCTTTGTTTGGGTATTTTCCCACGTCATTGTAGTTGTGCTTTTAAAGTTGTAGCAACGTTTCGGCAGAATCTCATCTGCCGAATGAGATTCTGCCGAAACATTGCTACAACTTTAAAAGCACAACTACAATGACGTGGGAAAATACCCAAACAAAGCTGAATGCCATACATATAAGTTCAAGCATACACTTAAGAAATATAAATATGTATTTTTTTCGTCTAACGAACACAATACAATATATATTTGTATGTATGTATGTATGTATGTACATGTATGGTATTCAGCTTTGTTCGGGTATTTTCCCACATCATTATAGTTGTGCTTTTAAAGTTACAGCAACGTTTCAGCAGAATCTCATCTGCCATCATCAGGCTTCTGTATTGTGTTTGTCTGTTCGTCTACCCGAACAAAGCTGAATACCATACATATAAATACCTGCAAAAACTTACACACACACACACACACACACACACACACACACACACATATATATATGCACACACACACACACACACGCACACAAATCCATCCTTCCTCATTTTGCTCATCTATAATTATCTAATAATCTTAAAGTAATTCCCAGTAAGTTATAAACTTCAAATCTCCCACGTCTATATTTCTTATGAAAAATACAAAGATACATTCCCATGTGGTATCCCCCTTTTATGCTACATTTAACCCTTATCTCTAAATCTCCCAGCCTTGTCATTTCTCTTAGCTTTAGTCAGCTTTCCCTTTGCTAAGTTTTCCTGGCCTTTCCTCTTTATCCCTCTTTTTTCCTCTAATATTACTTTTATTTCCATCTGCCAGTCCCCCGTCTTTCCTCCCACCCTTTCCTTTTCTCTTTTTTTGAAATTTCTTCTTGTACATCTTCTTCTTTTGCTTACTCTTGGGAGCTTTTCTTTTTTATTTATTATCTCTATCATCAATGTCTTAGTTTTAGTTCCTTTTATGTCTTTTGGCAATGTTTCTGAATCTTCATATCTATCTTGGCTGTTTTCCTCTTCCTTTGGCTCCCCCTCTCTAAGGTTCCTTTGTTCTGCTATAAATTGCATTATGTTTTCTGCCGGTATGTCCAATAGTCCCCTTCTTTCTTTTAACATTTCTTTCACAGATTGCAGTTCCAACTTAAATTCTTTGCTTGCTTCTTCCATTTTTTTAATCAATTGTGTTATTTTTTTATTTTATTAAAGTTAATTGTAATCCTTGCCAAGAGACTCCACTTATTTCTCTTTTCCTTATGGGGTCTTTCTATTTCCTTTGCACAGTCAACCCCCAACAGTCTCAAGATATTGCCTTCGTTTATCCTCTTGCTGCAATCTCCCCTTTTTTCTCTTAAGCTTCCAGAGTTCTTGTTCTGTTAAAGTCTTTTATTTCATATGTTTTCTTATTCACTCATTTAAAAGACCAGTAATTTTCCGCAAAGTCATCCAGGAAAAAATGTCTTGTACCATTAGGTGGCGCTCTATAGTGCTTCCACTTTTCAAAGTTTTAATTTCGTTTTAGCTCTTTTATAGTCCAGTTTTTATTTACCTTATATTGTCCTCTTGTTTTCCATTCACCGCTGTTATACTCTCAAGCGAGGAATCCTTCTTTCTGCTTTTCAGGGTTATTAAAACAAAAAGTTCAGCTTCTCTTATCTGGTTACACGCTGCTCACCACTTCACCACTCCAGCACACGTTTAAGTCCCAGTAGCTTCCCATCTTCAGAGCAGCCATTAAAACTGCCGTTTCTCCCTGTCTTCCAGGGGAGTATACCAAGCCAGGGAGGGGAGATGCAGCTCCCCTCAACTCGGCTGGCAGTCTCCACCTCTTCCTCCACCCTTCTGAGGTGGGTCTGATGGTTCCGGTGCCATAGGGACACCCCCACCACCACCCCCAACAGGGTAAGCATAGATCGAAGCCGCGCACGATTGTGGTCTCCGTCTGTCCTCGACAGAAGTGCCACTGGAAGTCATACATTATTCTTTCTTGTCCCTCTTGTTTTCAGTTTAGCTAGGATACCTCCCAAATCACATTTTTATCATCTTCTCTTTCATTATGCTATATGTGGCCTCCAAGAACGTATACATGTACACATTTTGCACACAGAAGCAAAAATTTAAAATCCTACCACTCAAACAAGACTGTGAGTAACTTAATTTTATGCTTCTTTCAGAAGTAACCCAGAACTGGATGGAAAAAAATAAAGCAGAATGTATTTATTACTATAGATATGTATGGTGACTTCTATTCCTTAGAGTTAAAGTATACATTTCTTATTTCTTTCACTCCTCACTGTCCATTCAGATCACTCAGATGAAGATAGAAAGCAATCCCTTTGCAAAGGGCTTCCGTGAGAATGGTATGAACAGCAAAAGGTGAGCAGGAAGAAATCAAAACCATAACATTGGTTCGGGTCTCCTGATGTTTCCCACTGCAAAAGATGTCCTTCTAACAGATAATCAGAGTTGAAAGGGACCTTATGGGTAATCTAGTCCAACCCCCCACCCAAGCGGGAGACCCTACGCCATTTCTGACAAATGGCAGTCCAATCTCTTCTTGAAGGTCTCAAGTGATGGCGCTCCCACAACTTCCGAGGGCAACTTCTGTTCCATTGGTTGATTGTTCTCACTGTCAGAAAGTTTCTCCTTATTTGCAGGCTAAATCTGTCCTTGTTCAGCTTCCATCCATTATTCCTTGTCTGGCCTACAGGCACTAGAAGGCTGAGGCTGAGGGGCATTGTAGTCCCTCTATGGATGGCTGTAGAGGTTGTGGCCTGGCATCAGAAATTTCATTCCAACAACAAGCTGAATTGTCAGAACCAAAATGCTAAGACTCTAGAAAGCAGGTGGGGCGGAGTTTCCTAGACAAACAGTCTGCAATTGCATGATCCATGAAAGGTGTTTGAGCCCTGACTGCTATTTTACCAAATCTTATTATGATCCATTATAAAAATACAGGGAGCGTGAGGCCAGAATCAAAAGGAAGATGAAGATTAATGAATGCGAAGCAAACCAGGGTGAAAGTGGTGAGAAAAACATGGGTATCTTATTCTGTCTCTAACTGCTTAAATACTCTTTCTAACTTCAGCTTCTCCCTCTTCGGTGGAGGCATGTTTGCAGACTGTGGCTCAAAAAATAAAAAAGGCAGTTATGATGATGCAATGACAGGCCCACCTGTTTTTAGGTGCACTATATGTAATTCTTATGTGATTCTTCATTCAGGACTAGTCAAGGCTGGCCTGCTGAAATTCTGTGATTAATCAACATTAAATAAAATAACCCCAGCAACCTCCTTAGGATCTCACTATGTCAAAATGATGAGCTTTATCCCTTGGGGATGTATGCAATGTTGCAATGCATGTAAGAAATGGCTGAAACTTGCTTTGTGATGCCTGATGTTTTCAACTGATCTCTGATCTCCTTCACTTGCAGATGCTCCTGTATCCTTATAACCCTGATTCTAGATCAGAGCTGGAGAACTATAGCCCTTTTATGACTTGTGAACTTCAACTCCCAGGATTCCTGGCATGGCTGGATCAGGAATTCTGGGAGTTGAAGTCCACAAATCAAAAAGGTGCCATAGTTCCCCTGTTCTAGATAATTGACCAAATGCCTACATCTCCCATCTCTTTCCTAGGTATCCATCATTTAGCCTATGCACACATTCGATAATCCCATCTTGCTTGCTTGCTTTTCTAATACCCTTCGATACTCTAAAAATTCTTCCCAAAGCCCCTTTCTTCATTTTCTTCTCCTACATCTGCAATTATCCCCTCCTTTTTCCTTGAAAGTAGTCTTATTAATTTGAAGTGAAATAAGCTTTCCAGAAGAATCTCACTTATACAAACTAGTTTAGTTTGTTTATTTACAGGGATTACAGCCAGCTCAAATCAGAAACAACTCCAAGACTCAGAATCTCCTCATTTGATTTCCAGTAGAATGGATAAATTATTAGATTTTTTAAAAAATTAAGTTTATAGTAATTTCACCTCCTTGTCTCACCTCTTTAAGAGCTCTACATCTCTGCCAAGCATGTTCCCAGTGTATAGTTGTTTAATTCCTACTTATAACTTTGTCTTCTCTTCTGGCTTTCTCTGCACATTTCTTCCCACAGAGAGCAAGAAAGGCCCTTGTGACTCCACACTGACAGAAGAGGGGCCTCTGGAGCAACAGCCACCCCCTGCACTTCCACAGCCTTCCTGTTCCTTCTACCCCACCACAGGAATTAATCTCAATGGGGCCGAGGCTTATGTACAACATCCAGCTGCTTTTCATGGTTTAAGGGGGCCATCATCACCTTATGAGAGGTAACAGAGAATTTATTTATTTAATATTTGGTTTTAAAAGCTGCCCTACTCCAGAAAAATGCCAGATATCTTACAATATTTAAAAGAATATATAGGAAACATATGGCTGGCAGTGGAATTCTGGGAGTTGAAGTCCATAGGTCTGAAAGTTGCCAAGGTTGGATACACAAGGGGTTCATAGTTGAGGGAAGAGCATAGTGGACGCACGTACAAGGGCTCTATAGCTGCAATTTGATTTTTAAGCAGCAACCGTGAGTCCAGGAGGAACCCCAAATAGCCTCTCATCTCAAAAAGGGAAGTGCAACCTCAGCCAGGACCAGAAGTAGAAACATCCCAGACCAAAGGCCCCAAAGAACCACAGCCACTCAGCCTTGTGAGAATTGAGTCTGAATCTGTTCTTTACCCATATTGGCCTGAACAACAGCCTTCAGATGCTGGGTCATCACTTTCACAGCCTGGGATTGAGATGTACAAATCATCGGTAGTGATGATACTGTACTTCAAATTGATCAATGATCTCACCCAGTGGTTTTATATCAAAGCGAGTTAATTGTTTATATCCTGTATCAGCCAGCAATCCAGACCTAATGACTCTTCTGTCTTTAGGAAACCGATTGTGATCTTTGTAGATTTATTTTATTTATATCTGGCCTTTATTATTTTTACAAACAACTTAAGGAAGAAAACATATCTAACACTCCTTCTTCCTCCTACTTTCCCCATCACAACAAGCCTGTGAGTTGAACTAGACTGAGAGAAAGTAGCCCAGATCCACCCAGCTGGCTTTCATGCCTAAGACAGAATTAGAACTCACAGCCCCCCTAGTTTTTAGCCTGGTGCCTTCACCACTAGACCTTTTAGCTAGCTTAAGATATTCAGATTATTTATTTAAGTTGCTATCTAAAAAAGAACTGTGCTACTTTTTCTCCAGGGTGACAGGACTGACGTGGGAATTTTTTATCATTATTCCTAATGTTTTCCCACAAAAGCAGTCTGCTTTTTTTCAGACCAATCAAGTATTGATCCAATGGTTGTCATAGCAATTGACTAACTAATATTGTCACCTGAACCATGACATGGGGGCTGAGAGTAACTGATCCAACATCACCAGACTGGCCTTCGTGCCTAAGGCAGGGTTATAACTGACAGTCTCTTGGTTTCTAGTCTGGTGCCTTATCACTAGACCAAATTGGCTCTTAAAAATATCTTCGTGTCCTGAAAATATTATATGTAAGCAGGGGTGGGCTGCTGCTACGGGTTCACACAGGTTAGGATGATCCTCTAGCTAAGATTCTGTGTGGTTCAGTGAACCGCCCAACCCCACTCTCGGCTGGCCCCGCCCATGCCTTCCCTCCCTTCTCCTCCCCTTCCTCTCTGCCCCTCCCATGCCTCCCCGCCTCTCCCAGGAATCCCCATGCGGCCCGTTTTGGATGCTAGGTAAATACAGGGCCCGCACGGAGCATGAGGAGGGCGAAAAACGGCCCTTGTTTCCAGCCTCCAGTGGGCCTCCGGAGCCCAGGGGAGGCCATTTTCACCCTCACGGAGGCTATACTGTTCTAGTCATTTTTACACTACCTGTTCCATGTATCCACTTTTGAGAACCATGCATTTATTTGGAGAAGAGGGCTTCATTTTTTGCCCAGTTCAAGACTGCATGGTTCTCCAGCATGAAAATTTACATCATCCATAACAAGCTCTTCCTCCTCCAAATAAAACCATTTTGTTTGTGCGCGTGCTCCAGTATTTGTCACGCTTAAGATTTAGAGGAATCTAGTAATATATCTCCCCCAAAGGATATATAACCGATGCCTATCAACTGTTTTAGACACAGCTATACATAATAGAGTTACAGCTACATTAAATTTTATTATGCAAGAGTGATCATTGTCCAAATCTTGCGCTGAAAATTGCCATTGGCTTTTTCTGGCAAAAACTGTTTTATATCTAAAACAACATTTTAGGTGTGACAAGAGAGATGGAGGCCTTCTACAAATGTTTCAGTAGATTAACAGTTTCCTTCACTGATCATATGATCAAAATGAGCCAAGCCAGCATCTTTATTAGCAGCTGTTCCAATCATGTACAAGATTTTCCTCAAGCTTATATTTTAACGTCAGCTGTGCTGCCAGAGGCAATAACCTTTTGGTTAATATTAATATCATTCTGCATTCCATCCTTGCTTTCAGGCCAATGAGAAAATATTTAAAAAGAATAGTATCTGGCAGATTTCCAATTATCCCTTCAAAACAATCTCATAAGAAAGTAAAAATCTAGTGTTATCGTTTGCACCAGGAATATTCAAAGTTGGCAACTTTTAAGACTTGTGGACTTCAACTCCCAGAAGTCTGACTGGGAAATTCTGGGAATTGGAAGTCCACAAATCTTAAAGTTGCGAAGGTTGGACACCCTTGATTTACATCAAATAGGATATTACCCAAAAAATGTTTTTAGTGGAATCTGTATAGCAGGGGTTTCAAATTTGCAGCCCACGGGCCAGATGCATCATGTGCTGGCCATGCCCACCCTGTTTAGTAAAGGGGGGGGAGGAGTCGCGATACATCACGTGACATGATGTCAAAAGTTTGACACCCCTGCTCTATGGAAATTCTTAGCCCTCCACGTCATGGTTGTCCCAAAAGTGCTTTTTTTCAAGAGGCAACTGGACTTCCCTTTTTTTTTTTTTTTTGAAAGAAGTTTTGCTTCTCATCCAAGAAGCTCCTTCAGCTCTGACTGGATGGTGTGCAATGGAAGGATTATACTCCTTGAAGACAGCTGGTCATTTGCATTCTTTTCTTTCCAAAAAAAACCCCCCAGAAGTCTAGTTTCAAGTCTTGAAAAAAATACTTTGATATTTTCAGTGGAATGAGAAAGGACTAAGGAAGTTCAGAAATACCTTATGTAGGGAAATCAGGATGAAAACCCTCTGATATATGGGGAAAGCACAATTGTGTGAACCCCAAAATGGAAGCTAGGCAAGGTAATTCTTAGGCACTGACTTTTGCTACGCTTTTCCACAGCCCCAGCCAAGAAATAGCAGCTCCTCCATCTTCTCCCCCTACCAAACCTCCTCCTGAGCAAACGGATTTCAGAGCAATGCTCCCAGCAAGCTGGCCCAGTTTGGATATGGTTCCTTTCCTTGCAAGTGCAGAACCAGCGGAAGCTTCCTCGTTCTCTCCTTTCAAGTTCAGTTTTGCACCCTACCCGCCTCCACCTCGTGTCTATGGACCTCCATCTGGCTACCCTGGCTCACAGCCACCGATGCTTTAACCCCTGCACAACCTGGATACCTGCATTTTTATTTCTTTCTGCTTGCAAAATTTCATGTTTTCCTCTTCCATTTAAGAAAGTAGAATTTGATTATATCCTCATAGTTTATATAATTAAATCCCAAAAGGCTGCAAAGGACTGTACATTTTTTTTCCCCATAGTGAATATAAGGAAGTTGTGATGCACGCATGCAAACTTTCTTTTTTCAGTTATTTCCGAACAGAAAATTTCTATTCAATAGAAGTGGTAGCTGACTAAGTGGTAGCTATGCTTCAGCTATCCCTTTTAGAACATCTTACAATGACAGATTAATGAACATGTTTTACATATGTCTGCACATGTCATCTTAGCATTGATATTGGAGCAGTGATACATGTGGTATGGCAACAGCATAAGAACTAGCAACTTGCTTAGGGTTTTTCTTTTAATATTTATTTTTATTGGATGTTAACAAAATCCCATAGCTGGCAGAACTCATTTGCCTTGATGAGAGGATGCGAATTCTCTTATTTTCATCTGCAACCATAGTAATGTATTAAAATCATCTTCCTTTCTCTGCCATTACCAAATTAGTTAGGAAATTAACTATCATAAGAAAAGACATATTTGCAGGTATTTCTGTAGCACTCGTTCAGAAATGTGGCAATACAAATACACAATGTACAAGATACTCGATTTTTCTTAATTTTATTATAATTTTTTATCTAAAAGTTGTAAATAGGAAAAACAAAATAAAATTAGAGCAAGAGACAGATCATGGGAGATGGCAGGAAATTCCCCCTTCTAACTCTAAATAGATACCTGGACTGCACATTCCTTCACAGGAATAAGGTAAAGAAGGGAAGCAGAAGATGTCAGCCTGGGGAATTACAGGGGTGGCTACCTCATCCCCACAGGGGCAGAAGATTAGAAGGAGAAAAGAGAAAACATGTCCCATTGGTCAAATTCATTAGCATGATGTGGTCCCAATCTCCACAGTCACGGAGAAGGAGAAGAAAGTAAGAGAACCAGATCTGCCAACAAAAGATTTAATAAATCCATTCACCAAAGCTGAATGGATTCCAGAGGGCATCTGGAGCCCCCAGTGACCACAAAAAAAAAACCCTTTTTGCAAGATCAGGATATTTTGGTATAGTATGCTGGGGACTGTCTTGTCTTTCACTGGCCATATAGTTTTTACAGAGCAGAGTGGGAATCAGGAGCGATGGCACACAAAGGAAGGACTTCCTATATTAGCTCAATCTATTCCATATTACTGAAGCAAATTACAGATTGAAGTGCAAAAACATCCTCAGCACTGTAGGTTTTCCAGCAACCTAAAACAGCAAAAGTTTGAAGCACTTCATGTTCTTTGCTTAAATCTTTCAGAGTGGCACCAAAACCATGGAGTTCCAAGGTCAGTTGACTAGAAAAAAAGAGCATCTAAGTGACCCGGTTTGGGGGCGGGGGGCGGGG